CCGATTAAAAAAAAGAAAGAAAGAAAGGAGAAAATTAAGAATGGGAGTGTATAGTTCAGTGGTTGAGCACTTGCCTAGCGTATGCAAGGTCCTGGGTTCCTGTAACACAAGGAAGGAGGGAAAGGAAAGAAAAAGATAAAAATCAGAAGAATTAGCAGAAACAAGGGCTGAAGATGTTCTGGGTGATAATATTTATTTAGGTTCACTATTTACTTATTTGTTACTGTTGGTTCATGGCAACATGTATAGGTGACTATCTGGAAAGCTTGAATCTATTTTTTAAAAAGGGAAGAGGTGGAAGATCAGAATAGTCACTACTGAGTCCACGTAGGGCCTATAAAATTACTGTAGCTACAGTCTAATCTACTGATCTCTAGTAAGCTACATCATTAGGTTGTCTCTACCAGGCAGGCATGTTTTAAAGGCAATTGCTCCCTTTATTTGGCTATTTGGGGTATATATTTGGTCACCTTTGCTGATGTATTCAAACTTCTTAGCCTATGGGACTTTTTTTTACTATCTTGATTTTTCATGGTTTTCAGTGATGGGCTGCCTCTCACCCTTTCTGTACTGATTCCTTCTTCCTAGGCTCATGTGCATGTGCTTGTTCTTAAAATAGACATCCTTTGAAAAAATATCTCAGTGGAGGGAGGAAGTATGGGCAGAATCCAGCTGCTTTCAGATTGGCTTGGAAAGGGCTTTCTTGTTTTGTTTTGCACTAAAGATCGAACTCATGACCTCACACTTGCCATGCAGGCACTGTGCTGCTCAGCTATAGCCCCAGCCCCTAAGGGCTTTCTTGTTAAATATATTTCTTTTTACTTAAATGAAGTTTTTTTTTAATGATGTCTAGAATGCAGTATTAGCCTAAGCATCATTCCCCCTCCTCCCTGCCCTGCCTTCTGGGAGAAAGTGGAAAAAATTTTTTTTTTCAATTGCCAGGGTCAGTTATTTGAATTTAAAGTAATGTCTGATCCAGTTAGATACTTTCCCTTTTAACCTGGATGAACTTGATGAGTTAGTTTGATGATCCCTCAAGAGTGAAATGTCATAGATTCTCATTCCAGTTCAGCTCATAAAAGACTGAGTGATTTTCAAATGGTTCTTGATGAATTCCTTCAATTAAGTCTGTATAATTGCCATGGGTAGATGACTCAGAATTGAAGTAGCTTTCATTTGTCAGCTTTGGGCAGAGAATTTGGGACAGGACAAGGAGTAACTGCTTTACCCTTTTTATCCCTAGTATTCAACAGAAGTCTGTTAAATGAATCACACTGGCCTTTATGCCTTATGTTAACTTCATTTGAATGTTTATGTAGGAAGAAACAGAGGAGACCTAGCTTTTATGGCTTGTGTCTAGATATCCCCCCAGAGCCTCCCTCATGTGGTCAGAGTTGGGGCTTTTTCAAAGGTGGCTGAATCTACAGTGTAAGATTAATTTGTGATGCAATGCTAGGAGTAAAGGTGGTGGTTACAAAATCAGTCCACTGATTGGCACCACCCTAATCCCAGTAGCCTAGTTAGAATATAAAGGGGGCAGAAAAAAAGCTACTAAGGCACTTTGCTTGATTTGCTACCTTCTGCCTATAAGAACTGTTTCTCCCTGCAATACCTGTCTGCCATGCCTCATTAGCTAGCTGATTATGGACTGAAACTTCTACAAACTGAGATAAATAAACCTTTCTTCCTTAAACTTTGGGTGTCAGGTATTTTGTCTCAGCAGTGAGAAAAGTAAGCAAATCCGAATTTGGTACCAGAGAAGTGGGGTTGTTGCTATGACTACCTGACCATGTGGTTCAGGAGCCTTTAAAGACTGGCTTGTGGGAAAAGTTTGGTAAGGGTTGGAGTTGCTGGCTGAAAAAGCAGGGCCAGAATGCCTTAGCTGTACTTGATGGGTGATTCTGGTCAGAGCTGAGAAGACCAGAAGGCTTATAGAAATGCTGCCAGTAAAGACCAGACTCCAGAGGTTTCAGCTGGAAAGAAGGACTGCATTGGCTGTTGGACTCCAGACAGTGGTCTGTCTGCATTTTGCTCATGTCCTGAGACTAAAATTAAGGGCAGCAGACTAATCTTGCAGAAAAAATTTAAAGGCAGTCTAGTGTAGTGGCAGTGGCATGGCTACTATTAGGGGCTTTTAGCCAGGTTTATGTTGAGACTTAAAAGCAAAGAATGATTCAAAACCTTGTGAGTTTGGCCAGAGAGAAAGCTCCAGTAAAGTTGCAGCCTGTAAAGATGGAGCAGAGGAGAAGTTGGTTGCTGAAAAGACTAGCAGGAAAAAGCTAAGTATTTCAGAAGACAATAGAAAAGATGGCCTGAGGCTAATACAAGAACCAACAAACTCCAGCCTTCATACCCTCAGAGTTGCAAAGGTGAAAGACTGTTTTGAGAAGAGTCCCAGAACACCATGTTCTAGAATGACACCAGCCTGGAAGTTATTCCTCTGGATTGGGTTCATAGGCACTCCACCACTAATAGCCAAGAAAGAAGGAAATCTCACTACTGCTTCAGCTGAGAGCAGACCTCGGCATCATCCATGTGGTTCTGGTTTTCGGTGCATGCAGAATGCAAGAGTTGTATAGTCAGAAAGGTTTCCACCCAGATTTCAGAAGAACATGTAGGGTGTCAGGCAGTGTGTCCCTGAGAGGACAGTGTGGAAAGCTATGAGTATCCACTGAAGGTGCAGTGGAGACCCCAAAGTGGAGAATCCAGGAATGTAGATTGTGTGAGGAAAACATCAAAGAGGGAGCAGAGCTAGCCCAAGGGATAAACCATGGGGGGTACAAACACTAGCAGTGCTGTAGTAGAGAGCCACACAAGCCCTTTGGAGTTTGCATCTTGGTAAAGATTGCCTTGGACACTGCACATGGAACTGCAAGGCTTAATGTTTGCTTTGCTGGATTTTGGACTTGGTTTGTTCTCATTCCTTTCTGTCTCCCTCTTTGTACCTTTGGGAATAGAAATGTCTATCTTGTGCCATTGAATGCTGAAAGTGATTTTTGTTGTTGTTGTCTTTTTTTTTTTTCACTTGTACAGTGGCTTGCAGCTGAGTTTGCCTTAAATCTCAAAGGAGTCTTTGGACTTGAATTTTTCACTAATGCTGAAACTGTTAGGACTTTGGCAACTCTTACAGATGGAACAAATGCCTTTTACATAAAGGAATATGCATGAATCTTTGGGAGGTCAAAGGTGGGATGTTATGACTTGTGTCTAGTTGGCCCCCCAGAGTCTCATGCACTCATAGGTAGGGCTTTTTCAGAGGTGGCTGAATCTAGAGTGTGTGCTTGATTCTTGGTATGGTGCTAGGATTAAAGGTGCTAAGATAAGGTGAATGATTACTAAATCCATCCATTGATTGATTTGGCACCCCTAGCCCCCAGTGGCCTACATAGATGATAAGAGGGGCAGAAAAAAGCTGCTAAGGTCCCTTGCTTGCTTTTGATGTCTTCTGTATGTAATGAACTGATTGTCTTCTGTGATGCCACCCTGCCTTGGAACCAGCCAACTATGAACTGAAATGTCTGTGAACTCTAAGCCTAATAAACCTCTCTTCCTTTTACTTTGGATGTAGGGTGTTCTGTCTCAGCAATGATAAAACGTGACTGAGGAAGTAGGCATTATAGAATTCAGGTTTGAACTACCAGTTACCAGTTTCAAAGCTACCAGTTTTAAGAATGAAAGGTGACCATTAGCTAAAGGAATATGGGCCTGTACCTGATGTTTGCTTTATATATTGTTAATTCCCTTGACAGACATGCTGGATGCCTACTGTTTACGGGGCTGTGCAGGGCCTTAGTGGGTGCTGGGTGAAGCAGCTGGCTCTGGCCCTATCCCTCTGTAGTTTACTGGTTTGATATGGGAGTTGTTATTAGTAATTTCCATAACTCCTCAAACCTTCCTCCCCTAGTCTGCTTAAGGTGTTTAGCATCAAGAAATATAGATGACATGGAAAAGTCTTAGAACATAGTCCACTCAGTCATTTTCAATGAGGAAAAGAGGGAATGTTTCCCTGGGCATACAACCTGATAGAGATAAAGCCGGCACAAATGTTCCTGGATTTTGATTTTTAGCCAGTGCTTTTGATTCCATTCCTGCAGAAAAGGCTTCAGGCAAGGGCCAAGCCAGGGACCTTCTTATCCGTGCAGTGACTCAAAGGGAAATACAAACCTCAAAGTGTCCGGAAGCTGTGGACCTCACATGACTTTCTAAACAGGTTTATTAGGAGTAACTTTTGCTGGAAGCTAGGGAGAGAAAAAATACAAAAATCTACTCCATTTCTGCCATCATGAGATTCCTACTCTAGGAGAACATAGAAGTGTACCATGTCTAGAGAGAGCAAGAGCAGCCCAGTGCACACCCCATGCAAGGGAGAGCTATGGCACAGAGGCGGGTGAGGTTCAGCCTGGGTGAGAAGAGTCTTTCAGGACTGGGAGAAGGGTCTCTTCCAGGTTGGAGGGGAATCCTGAGCAAATGTCCCATACGGCCAGTGGCCTACACAAAGGAAGTTGGGAAATCATGAGAAACATTTTTGGGCAGCAGCTGATTGAGCAGATCTTGAACTCATAACAGGCTTGGAGATAGTGAAGTATGAGCTTAACCTTCTTAGAGGAATTGCTGGGTAAAGCCATGATTGTGGAAGGTAAACCTGGCTCCATGTTTGAGGAACTGGGATGAGGAGACTTTTAGAAGGCTTCATCAGGGACTTACTGCAACTACTCAGCTGTGTAATAAGGCTCTGGCCACAGAAAGTTATTGCTTTTTGCTTCAAAATCTCAAGTGTCAAGTTGAAACATCAGGTATTTAACCCACTGTTGCTAGGATTATGTTCTGCTGTCCTTGATGAAGTTTATCCCTTGGGAATAAAACTCTAGCATGGTTGTGTATCTGAGTAGGGAGGGCTGATCTGGTGGGGAGAAGAAAGCACGAAGTTGAAAGCAAAGTGGTGGACAGGGAAATCAGCCCCCACAAAGGCTAATTGTGTTCTCTTTTCCTTGTCTCCTTAGGAATATAAACAGAAGCTCGCACGAGTAACACAGGTCCGCAAGGAACTGAAGTCGCATATTCAGAGCTTACCAGACCTCTCACTGCTGCCCAATGTCACAGGGGGCTTGGCCCCGCTGCCCTCTGCAGGTGACCTCTTTTCAACTGATTAGGACAGTTGTTATGCCCCAGATTCCCATCTGTGCCAGAAAGAAGGAGACAAGTCATGGTTGCAGATAACCCTCTGGCCCCTGGTTTTCTCTGGCTTCTGCCTGGCCCTCCACCTCCAGAAAGAACTGTATAGACTCTGATACCTGATTCTCCTCTCCAGCCTTTCGTCTCGAGCACAGTTCAGAATAGTGGCCAAAGGAATCCAGTTTAGATTCATACTTGCAAAAATACAGACCTCCCACTTTATGAGTTCACGCCCCCATTGGTTTTCCATTCTTAACTCTCTTTTTTACACAAGAAGCTATGAAAATCATGGGTAATTCTGGAAGTTTTTGAAAGAATCTTGCCCTTGTGACAGCATGTATCATGGAAACAGCACCTCCTTTCTGAGCTGAACTTGTCTGAGTTAGGCTCCCACTGAGGGGCTTGCTTCGCAGACATTGGCTTTCACATCTACCACCTGCCCCGAAAGGTTGGTGGCATAGTCTTTGGGCAGCTTTGCCATAAAAATGTTTGCCAAATTGCTGACCCTTCCCTGTCATTACTTTTAGCAGTGTATAGTAAAAGGTAATGTTTGTTATGAGCAATCTAAAGAATCTAGCAATGAGATTTCATAGCTGACCTAGAACATAAAGGCACAGTTCAAAGACAAGAGTAATAGTGAACACAAGCACGTAACTTGCTTGGTTCCTGCACACAGCATTCCTCAGGCTGCATTTCTCAAGAGTCTCCCATTGGCAGAGAGTAAATTTCTGAAAACACACCAATTGGCTTTTGTTGGTTGTTAAGGACAGTACTGGTGTCCCCCAAAAGGTAAAGGCACCACATAGAGGTGTGCTGAGTCTGGGCTCTGCATGGCTATGACTGTGACCCTTCCTCTGGGGAGTAGGGTACACTGTCATCAATGCATTAGTGGGCATCCATATGTTCACAACATGGTGACTGAGCTTGGCCATCTCTTGCAGACAGGACACCAAGCACGTCTATCTGTCAGTTCATACCACTGTATGTTGCCACATGAGGAGGAGAAAAAGTATTTGTATCAGATGTTGTTGAAACAGCTCATCACTGGCAGGGGACAGGAAAAGTGAGGGGTATTAATTTGGGATTTTAATTCCATTATCATGCCATCTGACATAAGTAAATAATGTAGTTAGAATTTTTATCTTGCGTATAATAAGGATAAGCCTGCTAATTGTAAATCATTCTAATTTGGCAGGTGAATTTTTGACATTGGAAAGGGCAGAAAACAATTTGTCCCAATAGTGTAATAGGAATGATAGCCCCAAGGCTGAAATCCGGAAGCTATGAAAAGGAATTCAGTGGGAGGGGCTTGAAAATCCATTGTTTAGAGTTGTTATTTTCAGGATCACCAAAAATCACATGTTACTTTACATGTTAAAACATAGCCTGTGTTTTATGAAGTATGACACATCCCTTCCAAAAGCTCTCTTGCCTGCTGTGACATGAGAACAAGGGAGAGTTATAACAGGTACTTGGTTTAACTCTGTAGAACCTAGTAGTGTTGAAGCTACTTTTCAGATATGCATCTGTGTGCTGTTTGCTTATTGACACTGCCTGTTCTGTCACTGTTAAATTGATGAGCCTATGAAGTTTTCCTCCCAAGGCAGTAGGTGACTTCAGTGAAATAGCAAGATAAATTTTAGTATTTGCTGTTTGTGCACATCCCCCGCCCCACATGATGTGCTGCTTTAATCTGCATACATTGGGACGGTGCTTTCACCAAGGAGGCAAAATTTTACTAGCCACAAACCAGCCAGAAGACTGATACTAGCTGTGTTCAGCTAGGTGAAACTATTACAACAGAATGAATTTAGCACACTACTATGTTTTATGTCTTTGACCAGCAACTGGTGTATAATGATTACAGCAAGAGCAAGAAATGAACCTGTAGCAATTATGTAAATGAATGTGTTGGGCTCTTAACACCTGTTACTAGTGGACTTCCTGTGAGGAAGTTAGTTTTGTTTTGTTTTAATGAAATGCTTTTGTTGTTTAAATCTTAATTCTCCTTCCCTCAACTTCCCTTTAAAGTGTGCTTACTTCATTTGTTTAATTTAAACGATCCTTTCTTCTTGTCTGAGAGCAGATCTGGCAGGGTGGGATGGGTGGCTTTTGGTTTTGTGTTGTTTCTTCATAGGGCATCCATAGGCCTCAAAGGACCTTTCCTTTAGGTCATATTCCTCAAAGTCTTCAATCTTCCTCTGTTTTTGTTTTGTTTTTCTTAAAGAATATTTTTAAAGCTTAAATTTGTATATTAATTTAGGACTTTATTTAGAAGTATAGGCTGCCATTGGTGGCAGCAGTATATTCTGAAATGTCTCATAGATATCTATTTTTGAATAAAGATGGTGTTGTTGAACAACATTGTGTGATACTTCTTTTCCCTACCCTGTTCCAGAAAACACGGTGCTTTCTTTGTAAGCAGTGGGTGATTAGTAACCACCAGTGGAGAATGTGCTGTCTGCACAGAATCTTGTCCCTAAGGAGTTTCTGTGACTGTTAGTGACACATAAATACTCTGCACTTACATAGTATTTTCTGGTTCTTTCCAGGGGCTTAATTGGCTTTAATTAGCCAATCCACACAATCCCCAGGAGAGGTGCCTCCATAGCTTGATCTTCATTGTAAAGAAGTGGCAACTGATGTGGAGAGATTCAGTCCTCTTCCTTAGATCACACAGTCAGTCTCGGACAGATTAAAATGTGAAATTTCTTTGATTTCAGTGCTTTTGTTCACACCCCTCGGCCTCCTGAGAGCTATTTGATATTGGCAGTAGAGTGAAAGCTACTCTGAACAGTAAAAAAAAGAAAAGTACAAGATAATTGCAAACCCAAATGGTGTATCTTTTTAATATATTTTCATAGGTTTCCTTCCTCTTTTTCCCTTTTACATTCAGTGAAATCATATTGATTAAAACTCCCAAAATAATAGAAAAATAGTTTGAAATAAGTCTTTTTGAAGCAACTGATAGGTTTGAGAGGATCATGTTAACCTTTCCCACTGCGTGAAGGCAACATTTGCCAGAAGTGTGGTTACCAATTATCTCACAGTGTAAGAAATCTTCCATAGCTATGGTCTGTCAAGATGAACTGCAACTCAAATCAAAGTCCCAGCATTTGAAAACCCATTACTCATGTTCTGCTTTAAAATGTGAAGGTTGAATGTAATATGCAGATCTCAGGAGAGACAATCTCCTTCATGTCCCCAGATTTCATGGCCTAGTTAATGTCTTCACTGCTACCTATAAATAGTAAATCCATAATTCCTCTGATTTAATTAGCACTTCAGGCTACAGAATGACTCTGAGGTCCTCAGAACTGAAGATGAAGCTACCCAAGAGTTCATGAATCTGTCAGAATGCTTAACTTTTGTGATTAAAGCCATTAACTCTGTGTGACCTTCCTAGGCTGGGTACTTCCCTCTCTGGGCCTCAGATTTCTTACCTATATAATGTAGTGCTGTACTAAATTATTTCTAGGTTCTCTGTCAGGCCCCAAAGCTTGTGATTATTGTGTTGCATATGAAGTCTGATAATTCTGGATGACATAGCCTGGGTTCCCAGTAATATTTGCTAGATGAATGAATAGTGTCCCCACTCTGCCAGACACCTTGGAGACTATGGTTGCCCAGACCAGGGAGCTGGGGGGTAAGCACAATAGTTCACTGGGTGCAATCTGTATTTGGTTTGAGATCTTTAAGAAAAAGCCGTTTTCTAACCTGGTTTTGCTGTGCTAACTTTTTTCTAAAATAATTTTTCTGACCAGGCTCATTTCTTACACCTGCTATGTAGGGCTTCCTATTTAAAAATTATTCTTCCACTCTGAGGCACAATTTCAATTAAGAATCCATTATTCTTCTGCACAGTAGGTTGGGACTCATACAGCTTTATGTAGTATTGAAAGCTTGGTTTGTTCAATCTTTTAGACAAAGTTATTTTGTATTAAAAATTCATTCCTACCATGGGTTTGATAAATACTAAAATTAGCAAGTGAGTTAATTTAGCTAATTTTTTTATGAATAAGAGGCAGCTGCAGCAAGTAGTAACTGTTCTGATCTGCCATTGTGATGACCTTGGTGAAGCCACACACCCTCAGCTAAAGTTTTTTATAGGAAATGAGTAGTGTTAATTAGGTGGCCTCTAATGCTCTTTCCTGGTCTTTTCTGTTACGCAGCTTCCAGAGTACTCTGCCTACTGGGCGTTTTACCAGTAAACTCAGTCCCTGAATGTCTTCCATAGATATTTAAATGCTAGTTATTTGTGTAAATTTTCAGTTGTGAAATAAAGCAATTGCAAACTTAACCGCTAGTAAGTTTAAGTGTGATGTTTGTGAAATAGGTTCAGTACCATGTCTGGAAAAATTAAGGGGGCTGAGACTATGTTGAATAATGAGTGTGGGTATTTATATGTAACAAAAGGTTAAATCAATAATTGCTGAGAGGCAGACAGATCCTGTATTCCCATACCACAGGCAGCATTTCCAGGAAGATAGTCAAAAACCTGTAATTCTCTATCCTCCACACTGAGGGTGGGGAGTTAGAGTCAAAGAAGAGGATTTGCCTCTTTGAATAGGGTCAGGTGTATTTGGAGTCTCCCAGTGGAGGGCATTGAATTCCACCAACCCCTTCTCACCAGGCTTTATCAACCAGCAATTTCTTACCGTTTGTTTTTCTGTAAGTTTGTATCATTTCTACCCTTTTTTAAAATCTCCATGTATTCTTTTGTTTCCTTTTCTTTAAATAAAAAATTAAAAAAAAAAAAAAAAAAAAAAAAGAAAAGGACCTCCGTACAACTCAGTGTGCCCTGCAGCTACCCAGTGGACTAGGTCTCCTGCCTGGGGAGGAAAAATTTAAGAATGAGGTTTCAGTCGCTGGCCTAAGTGGTTGGATGAGGTAGCAGGGGAGAGTTGACCAGAGGATGCAGCCTCAAGTCTGTCCGGGAACAGAGTGGGTAAAAGCCTGTGCTGCTCTCAGAATGTGAGCAGGAGGCCAGAGTTCCCTCAAGTAGTGCTGAAAGGAAGGTGCAGAGGCAAGGAGTCAGGAAGGGTGAGGCCCCTGAGGAACCCCTGGTGATGAGGCTGAGGTCAGGATGATTAGGAGAGGGCGTTACTGAGCCAAGTCCAATCAGATCCTGCTAACCACAACACCTCATGTGGAGGATCTCTTGCCCCACTTTCCCTCACCATGTTTTCCCTGGAAGGATCAGAACTCTTGGTGAAAAAAGAGAACCCTCCTTTCGCTGCTACTGGGCGTCTACCTGCAGTGGCCCAGAGAGGCCTCGCCTTCTCATGGAAGCTATTTTCATTATGGACCAATCGCACATTTACATTTCCAAATTGAGACTTGTACCCTAAGAGTGACAGTGGGAATTTGTTTTAATTACAGGATTACCTAGAGAAGTGGAAGCCTGAGTTCTAGAGTGAGGGGATACACTAGCTCCATAAGTAATTTCAAGGGACTCTAGGACACAAAGTTGCTTTGTGATTGGAGCCTCAGGAACTTTCTTGATTTTTGCAACAGTTACATATAATGTGATTTATTTTAGAAATTATTTCACCATTGTACTATTTCTATGTAAAAAGTTCATTTTCTTGGCACTAACTTGTTAATGAGTTCATAAATTATCCTGTGTACATGTGAATTATTTAAAAAAATTTTTAAATACAACATAGATTTATGACTTAAGCTATTTTTAAGCATACAATTCAGTGGCGTTTAGCATACTCACGATGATGTGCAGCTGTCACCACTATCTAGTTCCAAAACATTTTCATCCCCTTCTGGGAAACCCCATACATATTCAGCAGTCACTATCATTATCCTCTACTCCCAGCACCTGGCAACCACCAGTCTGCTTTCCATGAAATGACCTGATTTGGATAGTTAATATAAATGGAATGATACAGTATATGACTTTTGTGTCTAGCTCCTTTCCCCTTAGAATAATGTTTTGAAGCTTGGTTTATCTATGTTATATGTATTAGAATTTCATTCTGTTCAATGGTCAGATAGTACTCTTAACTACATGGGAATGTCACATTTTGTTAATCTATCAGCTGGTGGGCATTTAGGTTGATTCTGCCTGTTTATTGTCAGTAGTTCTGCTGTGAATATTTTTACTTGAGTTGCAGTTTGAACACCTGATTTCAGTTCTTTGTGGTATGTGCCTCAGAGTGAAATTGCTAGACCACATGGCACTTCTATATTTAAGTGATTGGGAGCCAGCAAATTGTTTTCCACAGTCACTGCCCCACTTTCCATTTCCACTAGCAATATATAGTAAGAGAGTTCCAGTTTCTCTTAGGTCATATTTTCTTCTAAGATTATACTTTTAATATATAGAGATTGAAAGATTTTTTTAAGGGAATTGATTCATACGGTAGAGGCTTAGTAAATCTAAAATCTGCTGGAGTAGTCCAGCAGAAGACCCAGGGAAGAGCTGAAGTTTGAGTAAAAGGCAGCCTGCTGACAGAATTCCTTTTTATTTGTAGAGGATGTTAGGTTCATCTATGCTACCACAAACAACAGGCCTATTAAGACGGATAGTTGATTAGATGAGATTATGATTCTGGGGGATAACCTGCTTTACTCCAGATCCACTGATTTAGATTGTAATCTTAACCAAAAATCATCTCCACAAAAATATCCAGAATAATGTTTGACCAGGCAACCTGATCTAGCCAGATTGACTCATAAAAGTAGCCATCACACTTGCTGTTTTTCATTTTAAAAATCGTAACTCTGTAAACATCTTAGAGATCCCTAAAATAACATCACACACTGGGTGGCTTGAAAGAGTACAAAGTGCTGTCCCACAGGTCTGAAGGCTCGAAATCTGAAGTCATAGTGTTTGCAGGGCAGTGCCTACTGGAGCTTCTGGAGGAAGGTGCTTCCTTGCCTCTTCTGGCTCTTGGTAGCCCCAGACATTTCTTGGTTTGTGGGAACAGAATTCTAATTTGCTTTCATCTTTACACATTTTCCCTTTGTGGCTGTGTCTAAATTTCTCTCTTTAATAGGCTATTAGTCATATTGGCTCAAGGCCCACCTTAATGACCTCATCTTAACTGAATTAAATATGCAAAGACTATTCACATTCATAGATACTGGCAGTTAGGACTTCAGCATATATTTTGGAGAGTGAGAGATAGTTCAATAATGGGAGCCCTAGTCTACAAAATATCTCATGTAGTAATTTGTATTTCCCTAATGACTGCTGATACCAGGTATGTTTTTATGTGCCTGTTGGCTACTTCTGAATCTTTGAAGTAATGACTTTTCAAATCCTTTGCTCATTTTTTAATTATATTCTTTACTTTTGAGTTATAAAGTTTCTTTATTCCAGATACTATACCCTTATCAAAGTGA